TGAGTAAAGGGCACTAGGGAAAGTTGGCGGGCGACTTCCTCACGGACGAAGGCTCGGACTTGCTGAAGCAATGGTGAATTGTCCGGCATGGAGTCGAAACTGGACAGCGACTCACCACCAGGCTTAGGCTGCCTAGTCAGAGTGCGTTGCTTTTTCAACTCGTCGTAGCTCTGACACAAGCTGACGACTTCAGAAACTGTGCTTGGATTCCTTGCCAAGAGCATTTGAAATGCGCCGTCGTCGATGCCCTTCATGATGTTTTTCACCTTGTCAGATTCGGGCATGGTGTCATTCACACGTCGACAAAGGTCGACGACGTCCTCAATATAGCTGGTAAAGGTCTCGCCAGTCTGCTGAGAACGGACGCGCAGGCGCTGTTCTGCCCTCTGCTTGCGGACAGCCGGCCGACCGAACACTTCAGCACATGACGTCTTGAAGACGCTCCATGTGGGAATGTTGTGTTTGTGGTTATTAAACCACAATTCGGCGACGCCAGTGAGATAAAATATCACGTGGCCCAGCTTGTCGGCTTCATCCCATTTATTGTTGGCGCTCACGAGTTCGTAGTGCTCGAGCCAGTCTTCGACGTCGGTCCCATCTGCACCGCTGAAGACCTTCGGCTCCCGTAGCGTAGGATGGCCAGGGCAGTTGAACTGGAGCGGAGGCGTCGATGTAGTGGCGTTGGCAGTCATGACAGGTGGTAGCGTGCGGCTTCGCAGCTCCAGGGTGTAGCGACGGGGATCAACAGCACCTTCCACCAAATGTGAGGAGGTTTATGAGTCGTTAAAGACAGCGACGAGACAGCGTGAACAACCGTCCAGCGATCGGCACAGCAACGAACCGAAGCACGAGCCGAGAGAGCCGGGCGTTGGCGATGCTGCTCGCTGCAGGCACATCTTCTTCTTCACACAATAGTAATTATATGCACACTCTCAGCGGGTTTTCACCGTAGGTGCCAAGTTCCTTAACAAGTCCAAATTTTTTAACATGCCCCCGCGAATCAAAACTTTCATGAGTGTGTAAAAGCGCACGAGCACTGCTGAAGCAGAGAAGAAGTAAGACAGCCTATCTCTATCGCCTGGAAAGTGCATAAAGTAACATCTCTTGTGTGTTAAAACAGCTGTCGAATTCTCTTAGTAAACCACCCGTCTTGAACAAGCTTGAAACAACGCGGAGAGGGAGGGGAGGGGGGATCACTCGAGTAGCAGTAATGAGTTTGAATTTTAAGGGTGGTCGCAATCGCTGGCGCGCTGGCTATCTCGGCGAGTATCAGTGCGGTTTCAACGCGAAGGAATGGTGTGAAAAAAGCACTTTACCCTGGAGCGGCCGTATTTGCTTACACCAGCGTTTTGTAGGAGTTCCACGATATCACATCCAAAAGAGTTGGTTGCCAGCCTTACTTCTTATAAGATTAAAATTTTTTGCTATTGTATCGCATTCAATGTGCCAGCGTATTGCTAAAACTAATGAACTAATCATGAAAACTGCCAGCCTGCCAACTTGCGAGGTCACGAAAGATGGAAGTCTGTGAGTCGACCTCTGAAGATTCGTTGTCACCGTGGTATCAACAAGTTTCCATCAGCGCCTAATTTGACAACCTCTTCGATGGTGATGACACGGTTGTCCGAAATTAAGAAAATCCAGTTTTTTTGCAAAACGAAGCAATGAATAGCAACAACTTGAAATTTAACGCTGAGAACTGCAATCAGAAAAAGCGTGCAGTGCACAGCTCAAGCACAAATGATGCAGGAAAATAACATACACAGGACGAGAGCGAACTGACATTTACCACTGGACAATTATGCACTGTTTAAACAAAACAAAAAGGACGTACAAAACGTAATCACAGATATGAGTGCAGATACAGATATGAGTACAGATATGGTACAGATACAGATATGGTACAGATATGAGTGCGAACTAACAAATGCCCCAGTTGTTACATCTCTGTGTTTGAAAAGCACACTCTTTTCGCAAACGGCGCCTGTCTAGCGAGCGAAGTGAGCTTTTTGCGCCTTCCAACTAAATACCCTCGTTCTGGTCAAGGTCAAAGGTGCGCGATTCTTCCCGCCGAAGGATAAGCGCACCAACATCATCCCCTTCCTCCCCCACTCCCTATTCGCCGGGACAAGTACGCATGGATGAAAAGCGCCCGTCGGCTGATTGTGACAAGCTGGGCGCCGAGCGTGGGCGGCTTTTTTTTTTTCTTTTCTTGAGCTTTCATATATATAGATACTTATACATATACAGTGAATGACGGCTGTAGAGCCGACAAAAAGCCAGGCAAGACTGTCCATATAATTGCTATATCGCAATAAAAAAAAGCAAAGCTCAATCTGTTGGGGGCCACACGATGCGTGTGCAGTAAAACTGTGCATGCGTGCATGGCTTCGAAAATGGAACAGTGAATGACATGGATGACACAGATACCGTGGAAAATTATTCGGTAAAGCGCCCTCCTCCCTACCAGCACGGCCCCACATATGTGACACTAACTAGAAGCATGGCACTGCAAACATGCAAAAATAGTTTTTTTTTTTTAATTTTGATTCGCAGTGGCGAAGGGGGCACACCCACGCATGCCCCAGTGGCAGTGAAAGTAGTGACAACATTGGCTCGTGGAATGCAGGTCAGCCTGCTCGCATCGCGCTCACCCATCCGCAACAACTAGCGCTCGCTCTTGCCTGGCGCACCATGCGCGCCGCTCGTTAGCAGCGAGGCAGCCGCGGAAGATCCATGCTCGTACCTAAATGCCGAAATGCGGAGCGAAATTCCTAAATTGTCTGTGAGAAAATTTGTTATATCAAGGTTGTCTCCCACTGCTACTTTGTTACATAGAGGTTGCAAATACATGTGCTTCTATAGAGTAACGGTAGGAAATAGAAACACTTTGTTATATCGTGAAATTCGTTATATGGAGGTTCGTTGAAAGCAGGTTTAAATGTTACTTGCTTAGGGATGAAACTAATATTAATTGACCAAGAAAGACAGATTCAAACAGATGTTAATTCGAAATTAAAGCTAGTTGCAGTTTAAACATTTTCATGAAAACATTTCCGTATGTGGGCATTTGCTGCTTCATATGTAGATCTGTAACAGCAAATTTACAAATTTATCGAAGTACCTAAAATACAGTTGGAAAGTATTGAATTGAATATACCCTTTTTTGGAAGTATCTTGTATCTGTATCTCAAATACCTCTAGCCCGAGTATCTTGTATCATATCAGGATACCATTTCAATTATCTTTGCCCAGCCCTGGCAAAATTATAGTAACCATATTTCCAGACATACACTGCACTTTGATCCTCTGTGAGCCTTTGTAGTTTCAATACAATAGTGGGGTTAGTCATTCTTTAAGTATCATTCATTGTTATTCATGAAAAGTAGGCTTGTGTGAATATTTGAATGCTTTGAATATTCGAACAAATAGTTGAGTATTCGAGTTCGCTTCGATTCGAATTTAAATTATCGAATATTTTGGAAGTATTCGCAATGAACGAATAGGTTATATTGATCTGCACGTCACCACCTGTAGAGGTGGTTTCACTGCACTGTAGAAGTGTTAAACAGTGAAAACGCTTATTCAAAGAACATTTGTTTTGCCGTGAAGCCCCCTTCAAATTTAAAGGGGCGTTGCAACATTAACTGTACATTGTCAGAAAACGCTGCCGATCGGTAGTCGAGGCTACCGAAAACACGCGAGGCAAATATTGTAGCGCAGCACATGGCCTGTAATTCACAATAAATTTTCAAAGCTAAAAACTGCTTTCTTTCCTGGGGAAGTGACCCTACAGGCTCAAAAATCACTTGTCACAGCCAAGAAGATATATATGGCTCTTTGAGCATGGTGCGCTTGTCGTTACCGGGGCCGCCGCTTGTCCACGAGTATGGGTACGATCGCACTGAAAAGCCACGTATTCGAAGAAAAAAAAAAAGAGGTGCTCAAGGTCATGAGCTGCGTGTGGATTATTTTCTTTCGCCGTGCCATTCCTCCCTGCTTAGCTTCTAGCTATTTCGTCAAGACTAGAAGAGAGAATCCCATTGCAACGTACGCCAATTTTGGAACTCTGCTCATACTGGAGTGATTCCAGAAACTTTGCTACAGTAAATTTGTGAGGCAACAAGCATCTTTACTGGCTCCATGGCTACGTGAAAAAGTGTTGCAGGGCCCCTTTAAAGGAACATGTAACCCTCAAATCAATTCTTCATTTTATTAAGCTTAATATGACAGCTTATGTAATCCTAGTATAATAAATTTTAAAACATTAAGTATCTCACAGGTTATCACACGCATCCTACCGAAACTACTACTCAAGGTTGCTTTGACTTCCTTTGAACGAAAAAATAAATTGCATTTGCATAGAGCCCCAGTTTCAATTTGAAAGAAATGTTGTGCCGGTTAGTTTTGTCATGATAAATATCTTTTTTATATGACATATATACCATTCGAATTCGATTCGAAATTATTCGATCAAAATCACTATTCGCTTCGAATTCGCTTCGAACCAAAAATTCACTATTCGCACAAGCCTAATGAAAAGCAATGTAAGGATTGTGTCCTTATATTGTGCTTTTGTTGCAGTTAACATTGCTAGAATGTGTCACTCTTTTTTCAGTATTTTTCTCAACGTTTTCCTGCAAACACAATGCACACTCCACATTGGCAAAAGAAGCCACTACACTAAGGAAAAGTCCAGTGACTGGGCCAACTAGGGTTGTGTTCCACTAGCAAATGACTTCCTTCAAAAACTACTAATTAATATTATGCCAGTATCAGCATGCCCACAGGAAAAGGAGCCGTGAGATGGCTTGCCAGTACAGGGTGTCACTACATTGCCAAGCCCACTGATAGTTATTCTGAAATGCACAAGATTTCTGTTCTGAAGAAGTACGGATGACTGACTCAGTTTGGTCTGTTTAAAAAAAAGAATAAATATACATCACGTCCACATGCCCTAGAATTATTTCAACATATAAAAGAAATGAAACACTACTGACCTAGTGATTGAAAATTTAAAGCTATCAGTTGGCAGCCTGCATTCCAAAATACCTGCAAAGAGAAGACATGGCAAAGGTAAGAACAATCGTAGCCAATAAATGAAAGGAAAGCTCAAGAAAACAAAGATATTATTGTCTTAATAGGTGAGTGCAGAAGATTAACAAATAATGTAAAGCAGTTTGCTGGTGCAAAATAATCAGTGGACACAGAATTACGGCTCAATCCAACTATTTTTGCCTCTACATAAAGATGGTTTGAGGAACAATGTCCTAAATGATAGGTCTCTTTTCGTGACATGTATAGTAGGCAAATTAACGAAACACATAATCATGAATCACTTCGCACAGAACAATATCCTAATTAAAGAACAGCAATGTTCCCGTAAGGGCTTGACCTACACTACTCAACTTGTAAAATTCTATCATGATTTAAGGTGTGAAATTGATGCTGAAGGCCAGATTGTTTGTTTTTTGATTTTCTAGAAGCTCTCCACACGATTACCCACTCCCTTTTTATTTTCAAACTTAAGCAAACAGGTATAATAGCGATGTTATCAAGTGGACTGAAACAGTTTTATCAGAGCGCAGCCACTTTGTTGTTGTTAATGGCAAAAGTCGAGTTACGTAAACGACACTGCAGGAATCTTACAGGGCTCTGTAATGGGACTTATATTATTTTATTTATATATTTATATATATATATATATATATATATATATATATATATCTCTGGATCCGGACAGGCCGCCATTGGAACATGAACTTGGCAACGTTTAACGCTAGAACCTTATCTAGTGAGGGAAGTCTAGCTGTACTATTCGAGGAGCTAGAGGGTGTTAAATGGGATATAATAGGGCTTAGTGAGGTTAGGAGGACAGATGAGGCCTATACGGTGCTACAGAATGGGCATGTCCTTTGCTATCGGGGCTTGGTTGACAGAAGAGAACTGGGAGTGGGCTTCCTAATTCACAGAAACATAGCTGGCAACATAGAGGAATACTATAGCATTAATGAAAGGGTGGTAGGTATCGTAATTAAACTGAACAAGAGATACAAGATGAAGGTGGTACAGGCTTACGCGCCTACATCCAGCCATGATGATGCTTCAGTTGAAAGCTTCTATGAAGACGTGGAATCGGCAATGAGTAAGGTAAAAACACAGTACACAATACTGATGGGAGACTTTAATGCAAAGGTAGGGAAGAAGCAGGCTGGAGACCAGGCAGTAGGAGATTATGGCATCGGTACTAGGAACGCCAGAGGAGAGTTACTAGTAGAATTCGCAGAACGCAATAATTTACGGATTTTAAATACCTTCTACCAAAAACGAGGAAACCGCAAGTGGACATGGAGGAGCCCTAATGGCGAAAATAAGATGATTGGTGGTGTTTATTGGCGCAAGGGCCAGATATGGCCAAAGAGCGCCAGAGCGATGATAATGAATTGTGGGATGTGCAGTGTAGATAAAACAAATGTGACGTTGCTGTAAATGGGCCTAAAAAACAGTCGCTGTAGGTGTGTAAAAATATACATATGGTAAAATTATGGCAATGACAAATGATGTGTGCTATGGAGACATAAAATGATTTAAAAGTGATAAGTATGTCAAATAAAAACTTGGCATGGAGCACCAGTGCCTCGACAGAGCCCTTAAAACAAGAGCATGGAGGCCTGGGCTCATTGAAATCTGCTATCACAGCAGCATCCTCTGAACAGAGGATGTGCTATGAACCTGTTGGGCTAAAAACATTCAATGTTGGACTAAACACATTCAGTACTACATCCTTTAAAAAGCTTAAAACTGATTTTGTATCAAAAAGCGGCTCTTCACCGAGAAACATAATCGGATGTAAAGGAAGATTATAGCGGTATGCTAAAGCAAAATATTTCTTTCTCTCCCTTTCAGCTTCCGCACACTCCAGGAGGACGTGGAGGACGGTTAGCCTGTCACCACATCTACCACAAGTAGGAGGTTCATCGCCAGTCAGAAGAAAGTTATGAGTACCATAAGTGTGTCCTATTCTGAGGCGACAGGATAGGACATCAGTTCGCCGTGTTCTTGTAGCGGAGGGCCAGTAACCCAACCGCGGCTTAATCAAATGAAGCTTATTATTTATTTCTGTGTCCCACAAACGTTGCCAGTGGTTTCGCAGTTTCTTTCGTAGAAAGGGTTTTAGATCTGTTGCAGGGACAGTAGCGGTGGGGTTAATAGCGCGCATTATAATTGACGTGGCCATTTGGTCAGCTAACACATTGCCCTCGATACTTCTATGGCCAGGTACCCAGCAAATAGTAACATGCTGGTTGGACATATACGCTGTACACAGAACGGAATATAGCTCAATTATTATCGGATTTCTGAATCTGAAAAGGGATCTTAATGCATTTACGATGCTTAACGAGTCTGTGAATATAATTGATTTTTCTATGTTTGATTTCCGTATATGCTTCACAGCGGACAATAGTGCATAACCCTCAGCCGTAAATATACTTGTTTCCGGGTGCAGCACGCCGGATTCCGAGAAGGATGGTCCGACGGCTGCATAAGCCACCCCTGCATGCGACTTAGAAGCGTCAGTATAAAACTCTACGCATGAGTAGTTGGACTGGAGTTCTCGGAAATGCATTTTAATATGTGCTTCTGGTGCGTGTTTAGTGATCTCAACAAATGAGGTGTCACAGTGTATAAGCTGCCACTGCCACGGCGGTAAAAGTATCGCTGTGGGCGTAGGACAGAGTTCCAGCAGCGGAACACCCAATTCCTCACATAAGTTTCTCACACGCAAGGAGAACGGCTTTCTCACTGTGGGTCGATTATGGAAGAGGGTGGCAGCGGTCATATCGTTTATAGTTGAATAAGATGGATGCTTGATGTTTGCACGTACCTTTATAAAATATGTGAAACTGCTATAGGATCGCTGCAGGTGAAGTGACCACTGATTCGACTCTACATAGAGGCTCTGGATCGGGCTTGTCTTGAAAGCACCGGTTGCAAGTCGGATACCCAGATGGTGAACGGGGTCTAGGATTTTTAATGCACTTGGCGTTGCGGAATGATAAATTATAGAGGCATAATCAAGGTGCGACCCGACAAGGCTTTTGTATAACTTCAAGAGGCACTTTCGATCACTACCCCATGTTGTACGTGACAGGAGTTTTAGGACGTTCATCGCTTTCAAACATTTCATTTTGACATATTTAATATGGGGAATAAACGTAAGCTTAGAATCTAAAGTGGTTCCCAGGAATTTATGCTCGCTGCTTACAGAGAGTTGGTCTCCCTTGATTGCAACATTTGGTTGTGGCATTACCCCTCGTTTGTTAGAGAAAAGTATGCAAGTACTTTTCTTCGTGTTTATTTTAAAACCGTTTTCATCCGCCCATTTAGTGAATTTATTCATTCCAAGCTGCACTTGTCGTTCGCAGACAGACATATTGCATGATTTGAAACTCCTCTGCACATCATCAACATACACGGAATAAAACATCGCACTTGGAATGACTGACTGCAGGGAGTTCATTTTTACAATAAAGAGTGTGCAACTAAGCACGCCCCCTTGTGGAACACCAGTCTCTTGGGTGAAAGTTCTGGAGAGAGCATTTCCCACTTTTACGCGAAAGGTTCGGTTAGACAGGTAACTTTTAATTGTGTTTAGCATGTTCCCACGGATGCCCATGGTGACAAGATCGCGGAGAATCCCAAATCGCCATGTGGTGTCATACGCCTTCTCTAAGTCTAGGAATACCGAAAGTACAAACTGCCTATGAATAAATGCATCTCTGATGTATGTCTCTATGCGAACAAGGTGGTCTGTTGTCGACCTCCCCTCTCTGAAACCACACTAAAGGGGGTCTAGTGTATTGTTACTTTCTAAAAAGTGGATTAAGCGCCGGTTTATCATTTTCTCATATAGTTTGCATAGACAGCTCGTTAGCGCTATTGGCCTGTAGCTGGCGGCCAAAGACGGATCTTTGCCTTGTTTAAGTACTGGGATGACTATAGCTTCTTTCCATGACAATGGAATATACCCAGCTGCCCACATGGTATTGAAGAGGGTTAGGAGCGTTTTTAGTGCTTCTGGGCAAAGGTACTTGACCATTTCGTATGTTATACGATCAACACCTGGCGCTGAGTTGTTGCAGCACGCAAGAGATGCCTTAAGTTCAGCTAATGTAAATGGGCAGTTGTAAGACTCACTGGATGGACGTTTACATTTAAGGGGCTGTCGCTCTTCGCGTTCTTTGAATTTTAAGAAAGTTTCTGTATAGTTTGGTGCACTTGAGACGTATTCAAAGTGTTCGCCTAGGCAGTCCGCCTGCTCCTCTAGGCTCGCACCTCGGCTACTTACCAAGGATAGGGGGTGTGACTCCCGACCCAATAACCTATTTACCCTATTCCAAACCTTCGTTTCGTCGGTGTAAGAATTTATACTGGAGATGTACCTATTCCAACTTTCTCTCTTTGCAAGACGACGCGTTCTTCTAGCTTGTGACTTCACCTGTTTAAAATTGTCGAGGTTTTCAGCCGTTGGGTAATTTCGGAGTAATCTCCAAGCTTTATTTTGACTATTTCGCGCTTTCCGACAATCGTAATTCCACCATGGAATGCGACGCTTATTAGACATTCCTTTAGTTTGCTCAATACATTTCGCTGCAGCGTCAATAATAAAATCTGTTAGGTATGCCGCAGCATCGTCTATATTAAAATCAGCAATGTCCCCTCCATCTAAAAATGTGTTTTCTCGGAACAGTTCCCAGTTGGCCGACTTGCTGTTCCAGTGAGGAAAGTCAGGCGAGCATGTATCTTCTTTAGTTAGCTTCAACATTATCGGGAAGTGGTCACTCCCAAAGGTGTTCTTGAGAACAGACCACTCCAGATAAGGAATTAGTGTACTCGAGACAATACTCAGGTCTATAGAAGAGTATGTGTTGTGCGTAGTACTATAATATGTTGATTCTTTTTTGTTAAGTAAACATGCACCTGACGAAAACAGAAAGTGTCCTATTAGGCGTCCTCGTGCATCCAAACGGGAGTCGCCCCATAGAGGATTA